TATACGTATATATATATATATATATATATATATATATATATATATATATATATATATATATATATATATATATATATATATATATATATATATATATATATATAATTATAAAAAATTTAACTGTGGATAACTCGATCTATTATCACATCTAGATAGACGTTAAAACGGTTAAATGGCGATAGAGAGAATCTCTATAGAGCAGGACTCAGTAGTCGGCTGACTCAGTACTCAGTGGTAGGGATGTTTTGTGGTGTAAAATTGTAAATATTTAACCACAGTATTAAAAATACCTCTGTTCATGGCTTTTTTGGATACTAATTTTGGTGAACATAAATACATACAACAATTTTATTTTATTTCTATTGCATTGGAGACTATTTATTAATTATAAAAATATATATAAATTTACGTGTATGTACATGTCCCTCTATTGTTTCAAATGTTTCAAAAGTAAGTATTTATACAGAGTTGAGAGGTCTGTTACTGTCGAGATGAGGTTGCTTGTTGGGTGATAAATACAGAGGGGCCTGCTACAGTCGAGACGAATAGGATGAGGTCGCTTGTTGGGTGGTAATACTTTTCAGTTATAACTTGCGTTGTACGTACTGAGCCGATTGTAGCAAAACTTTCGATTCACTTTATCTATAATCAAGGAAGCGACGAATACACCATATTACATAAGTTGGTGATGTACAGATATACACATGTAGATTATCTCCGTCTGCTGACCTTTCACCTCGACTACCTAGTTGTGTACTAGCATCACGGACTAGGTATATAGTGACCATGCTATGCAAATACTATGTTATCAACCTAAAACTATACAGTAAAAAATAAATAACCAGAATACTGCACCTGATTCTGCCAGAAACCTTGAAAGGATTGTGTGGCGTGCTTTCGAACCGGCATCGTCCCCAATTTTGTGGCTGAATAAAAAGGGTGGACTCCAGTGCGATTTTTACTATTCCATTTCTACGTATCCCGTATATTTGAGGGCAAGTTAAACACATGTGGTGACGAGTGAGCGGTTTTCAGTGTATAGCTACTCAAAACTGTAATCAATATCAGCTCTGCAATCAATGTGGAAAGAATAAAGATTCATAACCAAAAACCGTTCAGTATCATATCCGAATCGTGTTGCTGAAGCGCGAATGTGCAGTACATAATAGTCTTATCCAGGAATTCTCCGTAATTCTGCTGATGAGTGTTATTTTTCAATTAATTCATAAACATCGTAATTCAGGTAAAATGCATAGGGCTATGCGAAATACCACGGCCCACAGAGCAGTGAGATGAGCTCGGTAGGGATATCTATGAGTTTGGTGGGGTTGACTACATATTTATGTCGTAAATTGAATGTGGTTATGGGTTCTCCGGTAAATTCGTCATTGAAATCCTGAAAGGCTAACCTCCTAAAACAATAATACAATCTAGCTTGATACTGTAATATAGCCAAGATTGTGTCCCTCGCACGCCAGTCCTCAGCCATATTTTGAATTTTCACTTCTATGCTTCTCTCTAGAGAGGGATATAATACAGTCGACGTCCTTATTTAAAAGTCAACCCCATTTCAGATAGCCACAGAGTTGAGGTGTGCCCTCCCTAGAGAGGAGAGAGATGTTAGATAGCAGTTTTTAGATTTATAAAAGTATATATGCCCGAAATGATGTATGGACAGGGATTTTTTAAAACCCAAAACGATAAAACAAAATAAAACAAAATTATATATACTAAAATTCTTCACCTCACTCAACTGGGATTTGTCCCTTGGTTGTAAACTCCGCAATATCTTCGGATGCGCAGGTTCGAGTCCTGCACCTGTCATGAAATTGCAGGTTGGCCGAGTGGTCTAAGGCGTTGTGTTTAGGAATCAATCCTTTTTTCTGCATTTTCTAATGTGGGGCAAAATCGCGGGCTTTTTATTATTTAGATGTCATCCCTAAGGCATATACCCATTCACAAAAGGACGGCATATCTGTCAGTAATCTTTGCTCCAGCGCTCAATGATGATGTCACACTATAGACCAAGACATTACACGATTAACCTGTGTTGAGACGTATTTTTTTTTTCGATTCTTGATTTTTGACTTTAAAATTTGAAATTGAATCCAGTTACCACTGGGACTTGTCCCTTGGTTGTAAACTCCGCAATATGTTCGGATGCGCAGGTTCGAGTCCTGCACCTGTCATGAAACTGCAGGTTGGCCGAGTGGTCTAAGGCGTTGTGTTTAGGAGATAACCTTTTTTATTCTGCATCCGTTAAGGTGGGTGAGCGCAGAGTTTTTAACCCCATTATCCTTAATATACGTTTGCACAAGAATACATATTTATGTTTTAGGTCACACTACAGATCGGGTTGTAAACGTTTGACCGTTATTGAGTCGTGTAATGTTTTTCTGTTTGCCACCCCACAAAATTGAACATTATTGTACTGTATTGATGGTATGTACAGGGATTTTTTCAAACCCAAAACGATAAAACAATTTAAAACAAAATATAAAAACAAGTTCTTTATATCATTTAATGGGGATTTGTCCCTTGGTTGTGAACTCCGCAATATCTTCGGATGCGCAGGTTCGAGTCCTGCACCTGTCATGAGTTTGCAGGTTGGCCGAGTGGTCTAAGGCGTTGTGTTTAGGAATCAATCTTTTTCATTATTCTTTATGTTGGTGGTGAATGCACTTTATTTTTTTGTTGATATTATACATAGTCTCTAATATCTAATATACCTTTGCAAAAGAACGAAATATGTGTCAGTAATTTTTGCTCCAGCAATCAGTGACGGTACAGATCGGTATAAACGTCCGACATTCATTGAGATTTGTAAAATGCCTCATTTTTCGACCTCACAACTTAATTTGTACACTTCTAACGCCTATATTAAGGGTCATGTTTTTCGATTCCACCATATCGGTGCAGTGCTAATTCACTGTAGATATAAAATTCAGTTCAATCCGAAATCTAAATTGTACACACTATAACGCTGAGCGTACCAATGCCCGCTCGCACAGCAGTATCTATCGAATGATTTTCCACGATTAAAGTTATCTTATTCAATTATTTATCATATTTGAACCTATCTAGGCGGTGCAGCTATGCGACCGCCTGTCATTATGGTTGACACACACCCAACGCTGAAGGGACCTCCCGTGTCTGTACATGTGAAGTGTTTCAATTTGGCGAGAGTGATATTGATCTATTCTTGGTGTGTGGACCATACTCTCCCCACATAGGTCCAGGCGTGAGTGAATATACGTTAATTGGTAGACATCCCCGAGGGGTTCTACCCTAATTTACAAGGGTGAGTAGTACTCTCCCTCGGTCGTGGAGTGCGATAGCTGGATGCCTGGTGCGTGCATGTCTTCACCTGGGAACGCGCACACACACAGCTCCGACAGGGCGGAGTGGCTCGGAACGTCACTTCTAAGTAAGAGTGGGCATATACACCCACATATCTTCACTAATTAAATACCGGCTAGTTATGTTGTTGTTCACCAGGCGTCCATGGGGTCGAGGTGCCCTGATACCACTAGGCAAGCCCTGAAAGTAGAATAAATGAGTAGGAAACAATTAGAGAACTTCGAGTACCATCGCAACTGTACAAGTCTGCACATACGTGCGTAGAATCACACCATACTAATTCTTTTATCTTACATAGCATTGGTAAAATTCGAATAGATAGATAGATAGATAGATACACACACACACTCACACGCACACGTGTGTAAATATACATATGCGTAAGTAAGTAAGTAAGCAAGTAAGTAAGTAAGTAAGTTAGCATATGTATATAAGTGTACTACATGTGGCTTCATAGTCATTATATCACCCCATACACAAATCTATTCATCTTCTCGAGTTGCAGATCAGACACAGCAGCCACACGAACTATACAACAATACACAATCAAGCCTAATTTATCTCTATACACACACACCAACCCATATTTCGTTCAACCAAGGCCATGCACTGGGCCTCTGATCCTTCGTGCGAGTTGTATATCCCGCACCATCAGGGTGACCCTCTTAGCGTGGAGTGCGGCCAGGTTGGCGTCTTCAAATAAATGCACCAGAAAGGCTTCAGCAGCTTCCTGTACCGCCGCAAGGGCATCGGACGTCCACCGGTATTGCATAGAGGGTTTGTAATCCTGGCATAGCTCACGTACCTGTAGAAGAGGGAGTGCATGTGAGACACAGTGAGTGCGTGAACGAGTGCGTGCCGATTGCTACGCCACAAACTATCTCGCCTACGCGTACCAAAGTCTACCAAAGATATATATATATATATATAAATAAAATGTAAATAGATGTAGAATGATAGAATGATAGATAGATCATATTGAAGCGAGTATTCAAATCCCAAATTAATCCACAAAGCGCATAGCCCCTCTTGATAAACATACAGACCATAATGTACTGTCTCACATACCAGGCGGGCGAACGGTCGTTTCCTTAATAATAAATCTGTGGATTTCTGAAACTTGCGAATTTCAATCAAAGCTTTAGCCCCAGGCTTATACCTCCGCTTCTTCCTTTCTGTGCTACCTGATTGCTTCTTGTGTGTCGCTGTAGTAGTGCATAGAGGCAAAGATAAATTCACATGCGAAGTTATACGCCTCAAATAAACAACATACAAATTACATAAATGTGCGTATTCGAGTAGATAGCCTTGTGCGTGTACATGTATATGCGTATAATTATGTATGACAACGCATGAGCCTGTATACACACGAACACATGCCCACATGTGCATATATACGATGCCCAAAGTACTTGTATAAATGTGTAGGTACTTAAGAGAAAGGAATTATGTACATAGTTTCTTGTCTCTTAAGTAGCTACACATTTGTACAAATACAAATACACGCAAATCTATTTATATATAAATTTATATATATATATATATTATATATATATATATATATATATA